GGTCTTACATTTTCAAGGTATCTTGTGTGCATAGATTTTGGACACAGACTGGGTGCTTCCTGGCAAAGCTGGTGTAGTTAATTGAAATGAAATGGTCCCCAAAGGCACTATTAGAAAATGTGGCTTTATTGGAGGAAGTATGTCACCGTGAGGGTAGGCTATGAGGACTCTTATGCTCAAGCTACTCCTGGTGAGACAGTCTACTTCCTGTTGCCTGCATATCAACATGTAGCTACCTCACCAGCATCATGTCTGCCTGCATGCTGTCATGCTCCCCTCCATGATAATAATGGATGGAACCTCTGAACTGTGAGTCACCACAATTAAATATGTTCCTTTATAAGAGTTGCCATGGTCATAGTGTCTCTTCACAGCATTAGAATAGCTAAGGCAGCTGGGGACAGTGTTACTTTCTTTTGTTGTCATTTTGTGTGTTCTCATGTTCATGAGTGTGTGTGCATCAGTGTATATGTATGTGTGTGTGCATGTGCACTCACACACACAAACCAGAAAACAACCACAAGTGTCAATCCTCAAGAGACATCAACATTTTTTTATTTTTTCTTTTTTCTTTTTTTTTTTTGGAGACTGGCCTGGATTTTGCCAAGTAGACTAGGTTGGTTGCTGGGTGACCTCAGGGATCTGCCTCCCTGCACAAACACACACTACGACACCTGATTTTTTTTTTTAACCTGCATTCTGGGAATTGAACTCTGGTCCTTGTGCAAGACAGGCACTTCAGCAATTGAGCCATCTCCCCAGCTCCATGTTTTGGGTTTTTGAGACAATCTGACTATTTTTAGGCACAGGCTGGCCTGGGATTTGCAGCCATACCCTGCCTTGGTGGGTCACAGGTGTGGGCCCCATACCTGACTTTCTGCTGTTTTCTTTAACAATGCTAACTGTGGGTCTGGGTTCTACAAGGAGCAGGTTGTGATAGCGTGGTTTTGCTCAGGCTCCTGCACAGGGCTGGAGGAAGCTCCCTCTGACAGTATGATGGGCAGGGAGCTAGCACTGTTCATGCGTGTGTTTCCATTCTTTTACTCTAGAGATCCCGGGGACTTGGTTGCCCTTTAGATGCCGACACTGTTGTTCAGGAGAGCCAGCCTGGGCTGCTGCTGTGAGATTTCCTCCTCTGCCTGATACCATGACCCCACACAACTGGAGCCAAACAGGATACTCAAATTAGGGAAGATGAATCTGGACTCTGGTTGCTATTACCTTAGAACTCACAGGGACAAGGCCATTTGAACTCAGCCTTTTTTCCTTTGGGAATTCAGTGCTCTTGCACATTCAGTCACAAGGCAGCTTTGGACATGAACTTGACCCAGGGGCTATAATAAAGACTTCCTATTGGAACCTGGATCTACTGTTGGATTTTCCTATCGTGGTTTATTCATCTCATTCCCAAACCTCTAAAGAGCAACTGAACAACAAAGCTCAATGTAAACTGAGGGGGAAAACATAATAGGCAATTAATTTTCAAAACAGAAAACTGAGTAGCCTTTGTCTTAATTTGATGAATACGTGTTTCTCCAGCCCAAGGCTGAGACAGTCACTTCACGAGGTACAAGGGACACCAGCAAAGTCCAACATGGTGGACAAACATGGTGGGCAGTTCATCCAGCTGCTCCTTAGGCAGAGGCAGCGGAAATCTTGCAAGTTTGAGGTGGAGCCTGAATTACATTGTGAGTTCCAGACCAGCCTGAGCTACATAATATGACATTGTTTCAAAAAAGTCAAGAGGTCTAGGGAGGTGGCTCTGTGGGCAGAGTGCCTGTTGCACAAGCTCTAGGACTTGAGTTCAGATCCACAGCAACCTTGTAAAAAGCTGGATGTGTATCTATAACCCCAGAGTTGAGAAGGTGGAGATCTGCAGATTCCCACTGCTCACTAGCCAGTCAATCCAATCGAATCAGGGAGGGGGAGAAGACGGAGAGGGAGAGGGAGAGGGAGAGGGAGAGGGAGAGGGAGAGGGAGAGGGAGAGGGAGAGGGAGAGGGAGAGGGAGAGAGAGAGAGAGGTTTTGCCTGAAGAGGTAAGAATGGAGAGTGGGAGAGGGCTCCTTGAATGGAACTCTGGCCTCCATGGAATTCTGGCCTCCACGCACAGACAACGGATAAACAACACACAAATAAGAAGCCTGGAGTGGTTACACAGGCCCTTAATCCCAACACTTGGAAAGCAAAGGCAGGCCAGTCTGTGAGTTCCAGGCCAGCCTAGTCTATATACTGAAACACTGTCTCAAAATCAATAGCCAAAACAAAATGATTACAAAAAGGAAACATTGCAGATACTGGGGTTCAGGAGGACCAGTCTGAGTCACTATTACCCCCACCCCCCAGAAATTTTATAGCCAAACCCAAGGGTTGAGAACCAAAGGGCAAGAAGGCATCTTCTAGGACCCATATTCCGTACTTATCCCATTCCCCTTATTGATACAGCACAGCCCAGAGTCACCTGAGAAGAAAGCCTCAGCTGGGGAACTGCCATGATCGGATCACCCTGTATGCACTCTCCTGGGAATTGTCTTCATTGTTAATTGATGTAGGAGGGCCAAGGCCACTGTGGGCGGCACCATTTCCTAGGCAGAGTGTCCTGGGCTGTATGAGAAAGCCAGATGAGCACAGCAAGGAGCATCCCTCATGGTTTCTGTTGTCCTTCGCTAGCTGTGGAGTAAGTTCTTGGCCAGAGGTAATTCTGTACGGAATGGCAAGCAGACCTGCCTTTGGGTTCCTGCCTTGACTTCAGCAGAGAAGGTGCCACAGGGTACTTCCCAATGGTCTCCCACCTGGACTGCCTGTCAGACTCACTGGAACTCAGTGGAGACAACTGTCCACGAATCGGGCGAAGGCCTAGAGATTGAAATAAAGAGACAAGACAGCGAGCGGGTCATTCGTTCAATGGCAATATCGGAACGCCGAATGCCGAATGTCATTTATTGAGGGGACTGAACGGGCTTAAATACTGACTTACAGCACAGTGGAAAATTACAGGAATTTTAGGCTTAGCTCCTCCCCACAAGGTGTGTGTTGTCACAAAGTGTGTGTTATCAAAATGGGAAGAGTACCAACAACAGGTTTAGGGCAAGGAGTTCCAGCCAACAGCTTCAGACTTGCTCAAGGTGCCTTGGGGATCCATGCAGGGTCCTACAGACAACCATCATTTTGTTTACATTTATTTTTTTATTTGTTTTAGGATTTATTTATGTATTTTATGTGTATGGGTATTCTGTCTACACACCAGAAGGTGGCATTGGATCCCACAGGACTACAGTTATAGACAGTTGTGAGCTGCCATGTAGGTTCTGGGAATTGAGCCCAGGACCTCTTGAAGAACAGCCATCTCTCCAGCCTCTTTGTTTCTTTACTTGTGTTTGTGTGTGTGAGCGCGTGCACATGAATGCGTTCTCATGCCACTGTGCGTGTGTAGAGGTCTGAGGACAACATGTGAGAGTCAGTTCTTTCCTTCGTTCTGTCTTGTGGGTCCCAGAGATTGAACTCAGGTTGCCAGGCTTGGTGACAGGCACCTGTACTTGCTGAGTCGTCTATCTCACCAGCCCTAAATGTAATCTTTGAGGCACGTTATTTGTGTACATCTGTGTTGTCTATCAGAAATGTAAATGTAACAAGGGATCCTGCAGTGTCTCTAGCAACCCTGACAGGAGGGAATTGTACAGTAAACCCACTCCTGATGCTCTCTGGTCACTGGCTGAATGCTGCCCAGTGGCAGGACTTGAAAAGCCCCAGTCTCTGGCCTCTACAGTCAAGGTGGAGACCGCTACTGGAGAAATACCCTGGTTTCTCAAGACCTCACCCCACCTCCCAAGCCGTCCGGTGAGGTGGGCTGATGTTGCCTTCCTCACCAGTGAGAGGAGAGGGTTCTACCCTCAGAGGCGGCATCCTCCCCCGAAGGCCTACGTGGTGGGAAGGCACAGCGCTGTAGCGAGGCTGGCCAAGCTTAGGTGGGTACCAACTCCAACACACCTTATAAAGGGGAAACTCTCACCAGGGTTGTCTGACATGGGGGCACATGCCTGTCACTGCATTTCAAAGCTAGCCTGGACAGCAATTGAGTCCTTGGCTCCAAAAGTAAATAAAGGGCTAGGAAACAAAGACATACAGGTGCATGGGACCTGGGAGTAGACACGATGGATGTACCTGCTCCAGCCCACCGTGCTGTTCAGTGGACATGGTTGGTGTGGTGCAGCTGGAAGTTAAGTGTGGCCTAGCTGACTCTGGCCTGAAGAGGACTTGGTGTCTCGACAGAAGAAGGTGGTAGGTAGTGAAGCACACCTTCAATTCTAGCACTGAGGCGGCAGTGACAGGTGGATCTCTGAGTTCCAGGCCAGCCTGGTCTAAAGAGTAAGTTCCAGGACAGTCAGGGCTACACATTGAATTTCTATCTAAAAAAACAAAACAAAACAAAACAAAAAGAAAGAAACAGAAGCCTGAGCCCCTGAGAAATGGCTTACCATTGACTGCTCTTTCAGGGGAATCAGGTTCAATTCCCAACACCCCTTTGGCAGTCACATACCAAATGCATCAACTTTGCTATACATACTGGAAGCAGGGTAGGCTCCCTACCAGCTCAAACTGTTTGATGGTGTTGGAGATGAAGCCCAAGCTCTTCTACCTGCTACCACTGACCCACCACACTCTATACTTTTTATGTTGAGATAATTCTCCAATCAGTTGCACAGGATGACCTTGGACTCACTCTGTAGTTCAGACTTGTGATCCCCTTGCCTCAGCCTCTAGAGTAGCTGGGAAGATTAACCTGCACCAACAGGCCTGGTGAACTGTTTACCTTGTAAACAAACATAAAAACACCTACAAAAAAGATTGAATCAAAACAGAAAGACAAAGGGATAGGAGCAAAAGGCTAGGACTTGGACTAGAAGATTTCAAAACAGGACAACCCCAGTGCAGTTAGGAAATGACTCATGTGTATGGCATTAAGGTGGACACAGAAGATAAGTACAAGAAAAATGTCAGCAACTTTGAGGGAAGCTGATGATCCACAGGCAGTGTCCTTTATTTTGCTGTCAAGATTGCACTGACAATCACAACAGGTTCTAGAATGACCACTTTCCAGATAATGAAAACACTCTGCAGTTATGCATTTCTAAGGTTTATATCCTATCATGTTAAGTAGAAATAAGCCTCAAATAATATCTTTTTTAAAAATATTTTAGAACTTCATTAGTGTTTTCCCTGCGTGTATGTCTGTGTCTGGTGCTGGAGGCAGGGAGACATCTGCCCTCGTGGAACTGTCGTCAGACAGTTATGACCCAACACAGGAGTAATGAAAGTCAGATGGGGGAGGGGAGCGGTGCTACCGCATTTCTCCAACCACCCAGACAACACCTTAATTAAGAATGTGCTGAACGCAAGTGCGCCAACTGTGAATAGTTAGACTAAGATGTAGTAAAACTGCATCTTAATTCCGGGTATGAAATGGATGGTCCAGGGGCCATTTTGATTGAAACAGATGAGAAACAATGGTCCTGTCACTTCCAAGTCACATGTTGAAGGTACTATACAAGTGCCCAAAACACAAGGCAGCTCTCAGAAACAATTTTATCCTATTATCTCAAAAAGCTCCTTGCCAAAAAAAAAAAAAAAAAAAAGAGTCCATTTGTCAGAGAGTACGGGCCCAGGCTCTTCCTACATTATTGAAAAGGTGCAAATAAATGGATCCACGCAGATCACATGCTGTCCCCTCAGTACTGTGGAAATGCCCCATCAATTTTGGCGGCCCAGGCCATGAGTCCCCCTACAATATCCTGGACAGTTAAAGAGTCTAGCTCTGGCACTGTCGTTAAGGACTGCAGGACCCTCACGGCTTTTTGGGAGTCATTCCCCAGTTTGCAAATCACATACACAGAGAGCGCAGCCCCTTCCTGTGAATCCCGCTTCCCTTCCCGGAGGGCATCCCCTAAGAGCTTCAGGCTGTCGGCATCCCTGCGTTCCAACTTATTCAAAGGGATGTGGAGGGCATGCGGCAGACGACAGATGTCCACCTCCACTTGAGGCCGGACGTCCAGCAGCACATGGGGCGCTCCGCAGTCCAGAAGCCGCTTGTAATCGGTCACAGAGATCCGCTCCTCGGGGCTCAGGAGCTTCAGGGCACGGCACTTGTCGGTGGCCGACGAGCCGCAGAAGGCCTCATAGTCCTGCAGGCGGGTGACGGTGGGCTGCTGGCCGCACACGACGCAGTCGGGCCGGCGGCGCCGCAGGCGGATCCTGCGGAAGTGGCCCCCCAGGCCGTCGAAGAGCAGCAGGCTGCCGCTGTAGGACGTCCCGAGCCCCGCGGCGATCTTGAGCACCTCGAGGGCCTGCACGCAGCCCACCACGCCGGGCACCACTCCGAGCACGCCGCCGTCGGCGCAGTTGGTCACCGTCTCCGCCGGGGGCGGCCGCGGGAACACGCAGCGGTAGCACGGCCCGCCGTCGTAGTTGTAGACGGTCATCTGGCCCTCGAAGCGCAGCGCACTGGCGGACACCAGCGGCCGGCCTGCCAGCACGCACGCGTCGTTCACCAGGTAGCGCGTGGGCACGTTGTCCGAGCAGTCGGCCACCACGTCGTAGCCGCGGACCAGGTCGAGCGCCCAAGCCTCGCTGAGCGCGCGCGCGTACGGCACGTACTCCACGGCCGAGTTGAGGCGGCGCAGCGCGGCGGCCGCCGACCACGCCTTGGCGCGGCCGGCCAGGGCCTCGTCGTGCAGCACCTGCCGGGCGAGGTTGCTCGTCTCCACCACGTCGTGGTCCACCAGCCCCAGACGGCCCACGCCGGCCGCCGCCAGGTACTGCGCCAGCGGGCAGCCCAGCCCGCCGCAGCCCACCACCAGCACCGAAGCGGCTGCCAGGCGCAGCTGACCGCGCACGCCCAGCTCCGGCAGCAGCAGCTGGCGGCTGTAGCGTAGGATCTCGTCCCGCGACAGCGCGGCCTTGGGGAGCAGCGGCGACAGCGACACGGGACGCTCGGGCTCGGGCTCAGACGCCAGGGCCGCAGTCAGCCTGCGCTTCAGCGAAGCCAGCTCTTCCTCACGCCGGGCGATTTCATCCCGTAAAGCCGCTACGTCCTCCCGGGCAGCCATGACAGCCTCTTGCGGACATATCCGGGGAGTGACTTCCGCTTCCGGTTGCCCGTCTCTTAGCGACAAGGAAGCTAAGACGCCTCCTAGAGCTTGAGGAGATGAAACGAACGGGTGTTTCCCCAGGAGCCCTTCACGGTGGATTTGAAAGAGTCCCAGAATCTGAGTATTCCCAGGGAGCCACACTGAGGCCTAGGGGAGCCGAGACTCCGTCAGGCTCCGGAATTTGGTACGACCCACGCCGGGTGACGTAGTTCCGCTTCCGGCGTCTCGCGCAGAGCTGTCATGGCCTTTACGGGGGCGAGTCGCGGCCGTGCTGCGTCTCATCGGCCGCCGCAGGGCCGCTCCTCGCGACAGGACAAGTACTCGGTACTTTTGCCCACCTACAACGAGCGCGAGAACCTGCCGCTCATCGTGTGGCTGCTGGTGAAGAGCTTCTCCGAGAGGTAGAAGAAGCTCCTGGCGCGGGCGCCGGAGCCGGCCGCGGGCTGCGTGTCGGCGGTTGGCAGCGCGAGCAGACCCACCGAGGCCTGGCCTCCGCTCCCGCCCGAGCCTGCTCGAGGCTTTCCCCGGCGAGGAAAGCCATGGCGGACCGACCGCCCCGCGTCTGCCTCCCTTGCTCTCTCTCTCTCGTGCCTGCTCAGGTCTCTGTCGAGATCTGTGTTTATCTAATGGCAGCTCGCTCCGGCCCACGCCCTCGCCCCCCACGCCTTTCTCCTGTAAGGGCTAACTCCACTCTTAGTTGGGGCGCGAGGCTGAAAGCCTGACCTCATCCCTCTCCAGGCGGTGACGGTCTGCCGCCTGAGCCGGGAGTCCCGAGCCAGCGCTCACGCCACCACGCCAGGGCCGAGCGCTTATGTAAGCTTGGTGTTTGCGCTGTCAGGGAACTGCTGATGTGAGCAGGCAAGGGAGAGAGCACCTTCGCCGAGCATTGTTTGTTCGTGTGTTGTGTTCAGAAACGCGGGGCCTTGCTCAGTGCTAGGCAGAGTTCTACTGAGCCCCATTCCTGGCCCTTAGGGACGGGAATTTTGGCGCTGGAGTGTTACGCATTTTTTTTTTTTAAGTCTTATAGTAAACTAAAATGCCTCGTGAGATCAGTACCGAGTCAGTTATTTCACGACCAGACGAGTGTCATCATGCCGTAGTAATCTTGGGCGATCTTTTCCCATCAGCATACACAAACGTGTTTTTGCAGGTTATGTAGGATGCCATAGCAGAGCGCTGTTTACTTAGGTCAGTCTTGTCAGAGAACACAGATTGTCTCCAGTAGAGCTCTTTGTTTAGCTCGATGGGTTTTGCTTTTCAAATGAAAACAACGCTGTGACCATGTTTTGGTTTTGTTTTGTTTTAAAGATTTATTTATTTATTATGTATACAGTGTTCTGCCTGCATGTCAGAAGAGGGCACTGAATTTTGTTACAGATGGTTGTGAGACACCATGTGGTGCTGGAAATTGAACTCAGGACCTCTGGAATCAGTGCTCTTAACCTCTGAGCCATCTCTCCAGACGCTGTGCCCGTGTTTTTATAGTGGTCAGGAAAAGTACTTAATGCCAAGATCCGTGATGCAAGGGATGCAGAGGCAGAGGGATTGTAGCAAGTTCAATTTCAGCCAGGGCTACATTAACATCTCCTGCCTCAGAAAAACAAAGCAAAATACTTGATACATTGTTTCTCTTTATGTGAAGCTCAAGTTCACAATACTGACTGGTGAGGGCCATATATGAGCCTTGTGTGTTTGAGACAAGGTCTCAGAACTATGTAGCCCTGACTGGCAGGGAACTCAGATCTGCCTACCTGGGCCTCCCAGAATGCTGGGATGAAAGGTATATGCCACCACTCGGCCAGGATTGCTGGGTTTGTTGTCTGTTTGGAGTTGCTATTGTTTGGTTGTGTTTTTGTTGTTGGTTTTGGTTTGGTTTGGTTTGGTTTTTCAAGACAGGGTTTCTCATTGTATCCCTGGCTGTCCTGGAACTCATTCTGTAGACCAGGCTGGCCTCAAACTTGGAGATCCACCGGCCACTGCATCCCCAGTGCTGGGATTAAAGACCTGCCACCACCCACTGGCCAGGTTTGGAATTGCTGTTTTGATTATACTGCAGAATAAAAGTCAGTTTGTATATAGTGGTTCTTCCATGTGTGATGCATATCTTTTTCATTAGATTTTATCTTTTAAATTGATTCTGCTTGCTTTTTTCCAGATTAGAGAATTTACACTGATGTTATGTTTTTGTTTTTTGCTCTGTTTAATTCATGAATCCAACACCCTTACCTCCCCTCTCCATTGCCCTGCTCCCTCTCATTACATTGTAACAAAGGCTGTCCTGGAATACCTCAGCCTCTAAAGTTCTCCCCCCCCCTCTCTGTGTGTGGGTGTGGGTGTGGGTTTGGGGTTGGTTGTGCTAGGGGGGTGGAACTCTGCTAATGAGCTGCATTCTGAAGTCAAAATGAAGTTTAATAGGAATAGCTACAGCTTAAATGTAGTTTGGTTGTTTAGACTACCTGACCCTCTAGTGAGATGGTTTATTTGAAACCAGAAAGGAAGGAATTTTGATTAAGAATTATTTCACTTTGTGACATACCTTTTTCAAAATGAATATCTTTTGTGTTTTTGACAAATTAAATACCTATCCTAGAAGAACACTGGGGAACTAGCTGGTCAGGGTCCCTACCCTTTTGTGTATGTTGTGGAGGCAAGGTATGTGCACCCACAGGCTAGCTGAGAACATCTGCCTGCCTTCCTCTTTCACTCCACTTGGAATTTTTTGAAACAGGGTCTCTCTCAGCCTAGGCCTTCTATTATGTGGGGGGTTTCAACCCCACCCCCACCCCCAGTGTTGGAGTTACAGGAATGACTAGTCATACCCATTCTTTTGGCTGCTGGGGATCCAAATTCAGGTCCTGTTGCTTGCATAACAAGTGCTGTTACCCACTAAGCCATCTCCCCAGTCCCCATTGTACCTATTCTTGACTAGTAGGTTGGGTTTTGTTTCTTTCCTGCAAAGTTTGCCAGGGCTAACTTTCACAACCTTTTGAGTCCTGCTCAAATTCCTAGGCACCTAATTAGGGTCAAGAAGACGGTGTTCCTTACTTTTCCTTCCCCTTCATATCTTATAAAAGGGGGGTAGGGCATGATGATTATGTGTGCACCAGACAACTAATTTATCCACCAGACAACTAATGCTGAATGGTTTTTAGAATAGAAACTATTGTGTGAATACAATGGAAAATAATTTTAAGAGTGAAATAACCAGTCAGTGGTGGCTCATACCCAGTATTCTGGAGACAGAGGCAGGCAGATCTCTTGAGTTCCAGGCCAGTATGGTCCAAGATAGCTAGGGCTACACGGAGAAATCCTATCTTGAAAAAAATCTGAATAAATAAATATAAAAGTGAAATTAAGTCAGATAAATTCCAGATTATTCAGATGTGCTCTTGTCATCTAAGGTATTATTTTACTTTGTTTATTTTTAAATAAGATCTCTGGTATTAGAGGCTATCTGTGAAAGTCACTGTAGCTGAGAATGGCCTTGAAATATCCTGATCCTCCTAGCTTTGAACTTGTTACTAAAAAATTTAAGAGGTTCTCACCCAACATGAATATAAATTTAAATTTTATTTTAGTGCGATCAACTATGAAATTATAATCATAGATGATGGAAGCCCAGATGGGACAAGAGAAGTTGCAGAACAATTGGAAAAGATCTACGGACCAGACAGAATTGTAAGTCACAAACTTTTCTTTCTCTGGGGGAGTGGGGAAGGGTGATAAGGAACAAAGTCTGGAAAGACGAGAGGCAGCAAACCCTTTTGGGGTCAAAATTATGTATCTGATATGTGGGCCTGTGATAATTTTACAGCAAAAGAGCAGGCTTGACCTCTGGCTTTATGATGGATTTTCTTAAAATATTGAAATGTGGTGATGGGTATGTTATAGAGCTGACTGGGAAAGACATCTTGAGTCTCTGTCTTGTTCACTCCCTTCTCTGGGCCAGCATGTACTTGGTACACAGTGCTGCCTGCAACTCTGAGCTTGTGGGTAGGAAAGGTGACTGTTAGCTGACAAACAGGAGTGACTTCAGAGCTTGAGGCAGTTACAGTTCTTCCTGTAGAGTAGGGAAAGTAACCTGTAAATACTTATTAAATCCCAAAATCCCAAACTTGACATTCTAACTGCACCATAAAGACTATCCTGTAGGAGTGACTTGGGCAGGTACACAGGCAATTTTATACTGGCTTCATGAATTTGACATTTTTGAAGCAGAGTCAGAGCTTATTAGAAGATATTCTTAATATAATTATTAGATGTTCTTCGGTTAATTTGTAGGAGATATTCTTAGCATAGATTTTAAGCATGAGGGTGAGAGGGGTGTCTGGGCTGGGGAAACTCTTGCTGTCCTATAAGAACCTCAGTTCAGATCTCAGTACCTACACCAGGCAACTCACAGGTGCCTATAACCCCAGCACACAAACCCACATCAAAGAAAAATGCAACATAGCTGTGGCTTCACTGACAGTTGCTATGGGGTTTTTGTTTGTTTTGTTCTGCTTTTCTTTTTATTGGTTGGGTTTTAAATCTTTCAGGATGTTTGTGAATTCTGCTTTGGATAACTGGAACCAAAAGCACATGGTTGAATACAGATTTAACTCTAGACCATGTTCTGGTGTTAGCTGTGCATTTGTCATTTGTGTTTGCAGTTCATTGCAGTCCAGGTTTCTTGGTTTGCACACATTGCTGGATGATTTGCTGAGGGAACTTGTCCTGTTCATTGTAGATGTTTAGTGGCATCTCTGTTCTCTACCCACAAGATGCCAGTAGCAGCTTCCCTCTCTTCTTGGCAAGTTGAAATGCACTGGATATTGTTACATGTTCCCTTAGGGACAACATTGTCCCTTTTCCAGATAGAGAACCATTGTCAGAGAAGCAGAAGTCTCTGAAGACTCTCTGGATACTTGCCGTTCAAGAAATGGTTGTTCATCACCATAAGAAAACTAGATCTTCTTCCCTTTGGTGCTGGGGAATTGAAGCTAGGGCCTTGCACATGCTAGGCAGATGCTCTGTTCTACCACTGACCTGTGTCCCCACCTGTCTTTTGTAAAGGAAGATGGAAAGAGAGTCCACGAGAGCCCAAAATAAAGGGATATCAAATATTTATTGAGGAGTCACTCACAAATGACAAATAAGATAGAGAACCACCAAGGTCTTTGGCCCAGGGGTGCTAGAAGCTGCAGTCAGTCTCTGCTCACCACTCCAAGGTTGGGGGTGGGAAAGAAGAGAGAATATTTCTTCTCTCTCCTATCAGTCCACACATAGCACCTAAGATCACACTTTAATGGGCCAGTATCCCAAAGACTGTTTTTGTCTAAATAAGAGGGTTCTAAACCTAATACAAAACTACATGCAATAAGAACAAATATCAAATATTGTCCAAGAGAAAGAAAAGGTTAAAAAAATACACAAAATTAGAACTACAACCATCAAGAACAGCAACAAGCTAGAAACATACACTAAATGTCCAGGCTATATATAGGTAATTGGCAAATAATAGAGATTATTCCAGCAGCTGTCCTATCCTGAGGAGTCTTAAGTCTCGTATCCAGAATGTCTTAGCTAAGATATGAGAGGATAGTAGCTGTGACTATCTAGTTTTCAACCCATCAAAGACCTGAGAAAGAAAGTAATATCACCTGAGTAAGCAGGACGTATAAGCAGACAACTTTCAAAAGGTGCAAGAAATGATAGAAACAGCTGGCTACCTGGACAGTCATCCAAAGTCTCATAGTAATGTTGGGGCAACCAACTTTGACTAAGGCCTAGAATTATCTGCCAGACCATTTTCAGAAGCAAGAAGATTCGAAAGACTGTCTTAGCCTGTCTTGGCAAAATTCAGCAGTCGCTTTTACTTGTATCCAGCTTGTCCAATTTGGACAGCATGCCTACTGCCTGCAGTCAAAGCAAAGGCCGTTCTTTGCCCAACAGACCAGTTTTGCCAAGAAGAAGACAAATTCCAGATGGAGTGTCTCTGATACCCAACATTCTCTTGGGAAAATGGCTCAGTGCTGCCAGGAGCAGTGGTGTCTCGTGTCAACAGAATTCTTGTTGTGAGACGTTTTCCCATTAGCCTGGTCCCAAATAACACATAGAGACGCTGTGTTAGTTATAAAGCTGTTGGCCTGTTACTAGCATTTCTTATTGGCTAGCTCTGTCTTAAATATTAACCCATTTCTCTTAATCTAAGTGTTTCCACATGGTCTTATCTTACCGGAGAGAGGGCCCAGACTTCTCTCAAGTACCCACATCTTGACTCTCCTCTACTACATCTCCCAGAATCCTCCTTGTCTCCTAGTCCCATCTATCTTGCTTTCCTATTGGCCAACAGGGCTTTGTTCATTAACCAATAAGAGAGTCATACTTACAGAATGCCATCTCCCATCTCCTCTTTTCTGTTTTAACTTTAACATAGTAAAATATATAACAAAACAGTTATCAAATAAGAACTATTTTTAGCAATATTTAGTCCATTAACATTTAGCAAGATTTAAATAAAATATTCTATCATCTATCCTATCTTTGTGAGTCTAAAGTCTTATATGTAACTTATCTTTAATCCTAACTAAGGAAAACTATAACCATAACTATCTGTCTTCAACTCCCTCAAAGACCACAGAAGGATAGTATATAAACTCTAGAAATGACAGAGACAACTCACTGCCTGGTCAGTCACCTGAAGTTCTTCTGTAATGTTCCATCTTCAGCCTATAGGCCATAGTGTGTCTGGCAGACTCCTCAGCAAAGCAGGAAACTTTAACCTATCCACCTGTATTGGCAGTTTGTCAGTCACTTTTCTCTGTGTCCTGCAGAGTGTCTGGCAGACTCTTCCATGAAGCAGGAACCCTGTATCTTGTATCAGCAGTCACTTTTCTGTGGGTCCTGCAGGTCCAGTTTATACAGCATAAAGTCAAACAGTCCAGACAAGAACAGTATCTTGCCCAAAAGGTCTTGCTATATTGGAAACAAATTCCGTAACAAGTTAGTTTGATGTCCATCTTCCTTTCTGATGCAGGTGGTGTTGCCAGGAGCAGTTATGTCTCACTGTCAAGAGAAACCCTAAACCATTTTAAATGACATATTCTGTAGGTCTTTGAAAGGTTTTAAGAGTGCCTATCCATTTGAAATATATCTAGAAAACCTAACTAACTTAACTATAAGTTTTGACTACTATAGGTAACTATGTATAATCTGTACTAAATTATACATTACATTTTTAAATACACTATATAAACACAATACCTAAACAAGAAGAGAAATATACATATCACAGAATTGACCTTAAATTGTATCAATAAATGAAAATCCATTCCAAAACAAAGTATTCATATCTATATCATAATCCCCTTTTTACCTTTAAAAAAAAGATTGGTTGTAGTCATTAACCATTTGTAACCAACCCCATTTAAATGAAAACACATTTATAAACAATGTTTGGGAATTTGGGCATCATTCTTTCCAAACTGCTTCCTACTGTTAGGGGACGCTGTGATGGGAATCCTAAGAAGACTCAGAAATCCTGGCTGTGGTAGTCTGTAAGGCTGCCTTGTTCCAGCTATTTTGAATGTTGGATCACCTGTGACACTGTTTCAGGGTGTCTTGCTTTATCAAACAATGTTAGTCTGGAAGCAATCCATAGCTTTTCATTTTCCGTGGAAACAAAAATAGAAATTCTTTTCCCCAGTAACCTGTCCTTAGACTTAAATTTGGAAGTCAGAGCATTTTTAAAATATATAAATTGTATTAATCCAGCAGCATTTCTTTTAACAGTTGTTGCTATTTCCTCAGCAGTCAAACCAATACAACGGCAACACAATAGCATGCAGTATCCAGACTCTCTCTCTCTGTGCTTTCCAGCTTCATGTGGCTTTTTTATTACTCTACTTCTACTTCTATTTATTCTTTTTCTTTCTTTTTTTAGATATAAAGCTGTTGGCCTGTTACTAGCGTTTCTTATTGGCTAGCTCAGTCTTAAATATTAACCCATTCCTATTAATCTAAGTGCTTCCATGTGGTCTTATCTTACCGGAGAGAGGATTCAGACATCTTCTCTCAAGTACCTACAAATTCTAAATTATTAAAACATTAAATGCCATATTCTGTAGGTCTTTGAAGTGTTTGAAGATGAATTATCTATGCTGAGTACATATTTGTGCATCTAGAGAACCTGACTTACATAGTAAGTGTGACAAGCATGATGACTATTACCTATATCGCTTACAGACTAAAGCTTCACATAAAAAATAAGCAGTCTTTAAACTATATACAACATGAGGGCAATGATTTTGAAATTGTAAATATGTATCTATAAATAGCTTGATCAGAGATAGAACTGTATCACTATACAAAATGACAAAAATATTCTTAAATTGTATCAATAACAGAATATCTTAAGCATATTTAGAAACATACAGATATATATAGTATGACAAAATTAATTTTACATTATTGTGCAAAAACATTGTAAACAAAAAGGAACACATACAATATGACAAATGTAATTTCAAGTTTGTGTAATATATAAATTATCTTAGACATGAATACAAAAATAATTTTATATATGTATCAATATATAAGAATCTAAATCAATGTAAATTTTCTGTAACTAATAGTTGCTAAAATAGTTTACAAATACACTAATCTACCTATTAACCCATCCATTCCCCCTTTTCTTTTCCAAAGGAGATTCCTGAGTCTAAACTTCATTATTCTACTCCTAACCCTATTACAATTATAACCAACCCTTAATAGGTGACAATTACTCATAATCCTGGGGGGGTGGATGACAAAAGAATCATCCAATACAACTGTTGGGAAAGGGGGTGCTGTTTTCTAGAATTACTTCCCACTGTCTTGTGGATGATGGTTTCCCTATGTGATCTTGTAAAACAATGATTAAGTCTCAAGAAGACTACTGTGACATTTGTAGCTGCTCTCTGAGTAGCCTGTAAGGCTTACCGGAAGTCCTGGCTAGAGTGTTGTAAGATGGTGCACTGTTTCAGCTGGAGTTGTCTAGAGCAGTTTTAGTCCAAAACTGATGCTTGAGCGGTGTTGCAGCTCGATGGCATCATTACGAACCAGGTGGAACCAAGGTTGTGGGTCCCCCGTCTTCTTTCTGGATACTTCAGAGATTGCTTTTAGGAAAAACTATTATTTACTATGGAAAACATAAACATTATTAACATCAAAATGGAAAGTTTAAATTTTAATAGATATACCTCCAAAGAAAGCTACTGATAAAGACGAAAAAGTATGGGGAGAAGTAAAAGTTTTGGTGAGAAAACAAGGTTATGACAATTAAAATCCCTAAATTTTTGGTTTTCTTCTGTCCCACAGATGGCTCTTCTGATGTGGGAAAGAAACTGAATTTTTCTTTTAACAACATACTTGGATTTAGAAAAGGAGAGAGCCACAGTCCAACTCCAAAGCCAGCTTTGATTTTTAAGTGAGTCGAGACTACCACTGTATTGAGAAGTAGAGAGGGCGCTGCAGAGAGACTGAGAAAGCTCAGAGTGCTGGAGGAAAACATGCCTTGTCTTGACAAATACACTAATGAGGGAGAAAGATATGAAAGGGGGCAGGACATTGGAGCTTTTCTGAGGTAGTCAGAAAAGTGGGAAGAGCTGCACTCACGTGGCAGATACATGAGCAAGCAAAACCTTAAAAAAGTAAATGGAATGTGTTAGTGGAGCAGCACAGAGCAAGGTCATTGTCATTCAAGGAAGCATGACTAAGCTGGCAGAGGATAGTGGTGACAGCAGTGTTTAAAGTTTGGGAAGATGAATAAATGATACCAAAGCTTTGGAAAGCGTAGGATTATTTGTTAAAGGCTCAGTTTCTCTAAAAAAAAAAGAATCAACGAGTGCTCATTAGAAATGGTAGATGTGGCTGAGTGAGGTGGTGCGTGCCTTTAATCCTAGCACTTAGGAAGTAGAGGCCAGCCTCATCTATATAGTGAGTTCCCGGACAGCCAAGCAGAGATACACAGTGAGACCTTGTGTCCACAGACACAACCGCAAATAAGTATGGTAGATGTGAAGATGATTCTGCTTCATACAAGAGTGGAATCAGCAGAGGGGGAAATGTAAAATTTTACCTGTAGAAAATGGTTTTTCCTGTTGCAGGGGCCCTGGGTTTGATTCCTAGCACCCACATGGTTGCTCACAACCATTTCTAACTCTTGTTCCAAGGACTCCAACAGCTCCATCTGGTTTCCATGGGCACCTGGCAGGCACATGGTACATAAAATACAATTTAAAAGTCTAGAAAATTTTGGATGTGGTGGCGCATGCACTTGAGAGACAGAGGCAGGCCGATCTCTGTGAGTTCAAGGCCAGCCTGGTCTACTAATGAGTTACACAGAGAAACCCTATCTCAAAAAAAGAAAAAGGAAGGGAGAAAGAAAGAGAGAAAAAAAACAAAGAGTTTTGTTGAACTGTCTAAAGTAATGGCTGATGTCTTTGCTTTGTTGTTGGAGTTAGGTATCCTGAAGTCTGGGCTGGCTTAAACTAGCTGAGCTTGAGCTCCTGATTCTTATCCCTACCTCTCAAACACTGGTGTTGTTGGAGTCACACCACACTTTATATAGTGGTGAGGAGGGGAGCCTGTTCTTCACACATATTAGGCTACACCTCCAACCCCCAAACACCTTTTTGGCTTTGAAGAAAAAGGAAATACTCTGCTTCAAGGTCTAGTAAATTCAACTAATCTTTTTAAATGAGTTTGCATTTATAGTAACAAACTTAAGAAATGATCCCTGAAAGTAATCTTGAGTATGCATTTGTAGGAGTAAAATAAAAGTTAAACTATTTTTGTCTTTTTTTGTGTGTGTGTTGACATGCTTTTTCTTTTTCTTGCAGCTCTTAAGACCACGGGAGAAAAAGCTGGGCCTCGGTAAGTAGGGGCACCAGCCCTTCCCTGTTACCTGCCTTAGTCATATTTTCCATTTTGTTTTCCCAGTTTGGAAAAAGGCCCTAGTACAGTCAGCTGTGATGTGTCCTTTAGTGATCTTTAGTGATCTTCATGACTCCCTGATGGTTTCACTTGAGTTGCCTGTATCAGTAAGGACCCACTCAGCCAAACATAAACCACTGTAATTCTGTCCAAATGGGATATTTAATATAGGGATTCTAGTTAACAAGGAAACAATTGTTCAAATTATAAAGCTGAGCTACTAGGAGAGATGGCTGGTTACTGAGGAGCTGGAGTGGGGTGGGGAGGTAGATTATGGTAGGGCCCAGAAATCTGGCCTGTTTAGAGGGAGTAGAGGGTAGGGGAGGGCAGAGGTGGCCAACAGTGAAGCTTTGGAAGCTGGTCAGTTGATGCTGGTAGATGCCATGCAGAGAGGGTTACTTAGATGTGGTCAGTGTCATGTCTCTCCCCGCCACACTCTTCACGTGCCACCCAAAACTGTCTGGAGCACAAGTGACAAGAGCTTGGTTCCCTATAATGTAGCCTAGATAAAGGAAGAGCCAAGGATTGAGTCTGAGGGTGCACATTTTGGACCAGTATATACTCTGCAAATTGCAGACTTTAAATGGGAAGACTAAAGGGTGATTATTTAGAACATTCTAGAGCAGTGGTTCTCAACCTTCCTAATGCTTTAATACAGTTCATGTGTGGTAACCTCCAAACATAAAATTATTTCGTTGCTACTTCATAACTAATTTTTCTGTTATGAATTGTAATATAAATATCTAATATGCAGGTTACCTGATATTCAACCCCTGTTGAAAGGGTCATTTGATCCCCAAAGGGGTCGAGACCCACACATGGGTTGAGAACTGCTGTTCTAGGTATTTCAAATGAGCCCAGTGATTCTGAGATGAGACTTGAAATGCCTTCATTTCATAGTTCTTAACAGATGGAAGCTGTTATCCTGAAGCTGGGGAGATGGTTCAGCCTTTAAAGTACTTGCACATGCACAAGGGCCAGAGTTCAGATCTCTAGAAATGCTGGGTGTATGTAGTGGCTCACCAGTGATTCAGCCCAGAAGGAGGAGTGAGACTAGCCAGATCAGTGAGCTCTGGGTTTGGTTGAGAGACCCTTGCTTAATAAATGAAGTGAAAGAAGGATTGGGCATGACTTCCAACCCTGAACCTCCACATGCATACCCCAGTCCTGCAAAGAGGAAAAGCATACATGCATACCTCAAACACACATGGGAAAGGGAAAAGAAAAGGTTTCTGTCGTGAACAATGAGCTTGCTAGAAGCATCTAATGCTTGAACTTCAAAGTCCACAGGATTCTTTGAGGTTGAAATGATCTGGAAAATGCCACCCCCCCCCCAAAAAAAAAAAAGCCACAAAGAGTTAAACCCTGAAAATATCAGTCAGTCAGTTGAAGCTGTTAGGAAAGCTCAGCACTCTAAGTGAAATGTTTGTGATGGTTTGTTTTTAAAACTTGTTTCTGCTTTCATTGATCGATAGTAACTATCCACACTGTGACACTAGCTTCTGTGCATTGTACAAGAATCAGATCAAGGGGCTTGGCATTTCTGTTGCCTCAAACACATTGAAAAGCTTCCCTAGCCAGGTCTAGTGGTGCATGCCTTTAATCTCAGCACTCAGGAAGAAGATGCAGGTGGATCTATGAGTTTGAGGCCAACCTGGTGTGCATAACAAATTCCAGGCTAGCCAGAGCTAGCTTCATAGTGAAGCCCTGTCTCAAAAACAAAACAAAGTAACAACAAATTTAAAGCCTCTCATTTTGAAATGTTCAGCCATTGCAACCTGACTGCTCTGGATTGTGATGGTGCTCAGATTAGAGAGTACAGGTCCTCCTGACACAGCTAATCAGCCAAGCCCAGAATGGGAGCTTCTGTGCACAGACCCAGCAAAATAAGATAGCTGGGCCCCTGGCCACATACTCCATGGGGCCTACTGTAACTGGCAAATTGCAGTTGACTTTCAGTAGAAAGCTCCTTTGAAACCTGACTGGAGTGCAGGGAAGCAGGAGGGAAACTGGCTGGGAAATGAAACGAGCCAGAAGGTAATGCCTGGGGCACCGTGGAAGTGGACTGAGTAGGGAGTGAAAGAGGGTTGGGATGCACAGCCAGTACACCTTGTACCGCAGTGGGAGTCCCTGGAGAGGATGGGTAGCATACCTGGTGCCATTTCCTGTGCAGTAGCTTGTTAGAAGGCCAGGAATTGTGTGTGTGTGTGGGGGGGGGGGTGATACTTGGAATGTATTTGAGGTTTCTGAATAGATACAGTGGCAGTGACTAGAATGCTGATGTGTAAAGATGGAGCTCTGAGAAACTGGCTCTGTTTTAAGAAGATACTAAAGAGCTAACATGAACTTTTGGTGGTTTTTTTGGGGGGCGTGGAGGATGGGGAAACATAAACATACAGTGATGTTTATATAATCTGAAACTTTTAAGTTTGGCATGATAGCTCTTAGCAGTTTGAGGCTGAGGCAAAAGGATCTCCTGGATCCAAGGTCAGCCTGAGCTACAGAGTGAAACCTGGACTTAAACCACCCTCCATCCCCCAAAAAGAAAAGAGATTTTTGTATTAGGCATTTTTTATTAATTTTAAATATAAGGATGGTTGGTTTGTTATTGTTTTTAATTAAGTTGTCATCAGAATGGAGGATGGGTAGCCAGCCACCTACCTTCTTGATTGTGTTTGTAATACATGGGAACTGTGCCACTGAATATGGAGAGTTACCAGCTGGGTCACTTAGAGGACAAATGTTTGCTTTTAGAATGCAAAGTGATTTTTTTCTCTGTTTAAATGCAGACCTAAAATTTTGGGTGGGCTTTTCGTTGTTGTTTTTTGCTTTTCAAATTTTACATATATGAGTGTTTTTCCTACATGTGTGTCTATACCATGTACGTGAAGTGTCTGCAGAGGCCAGAAAACGGTCGCACATAACCCGAAGCTGGAGTTACAGTGGTCATGCGCTGCCATATCAGTACTGGGACTAGAACCTGGGTCCCCTGGAAGAGCAATCAGTACTCTTAACCATTGAGCCAGATCTCAGCTTCTTGTTATTTTTGTTAATGAGTCTAACTACTTTCATTTTTAGGAACTGCCTATATTCATGGAATAAAACATGCCACAGGAAACTATGTCATCATTATGGATGCTGATCTCTCACACCATGTAAGTGGGTTCACCACTCTCCATTCTAGTCTGTTGACATGGTCTTTCTCTGTCATCTAGACTGATCTGGATCCCCATGTCATCCTATGAATGCTAAGATTACAAATATGCACCACCAGTTTGCCTTTGTTGATTAGGTGTTTATGGTATGTTGCTGACTTATTGTTTATTCTTTCCATATTTCAGCCCAAATTTATTCCTGAATTTATCAGGTAGGTACTGTTTCTAGTATTTCTTGGGGGTAGGGGGACGGATGCTGCCTTTTTTAAATTATTTATATTTTATGTATGAGTGCTCTACATATATACCTGCATAGCAGAACCAAGTCCTATTACAGATGGTTGTGAGCCACCATGTCATTGTGGGAAATTAACTCAGAAGAGCTCTTAACTGCTGAGTTAGTAGTATTTCTAATATTAGAAATTTAAAATTCAGTTTGTTCATTTAAGATATACATGCTACTTTAATTTTTCTGTCAAAATTTAACTGACATAGAGACTTGATACTCATAAATATGGGTCTATGACTACATGACTTACTATAGGAGCCATCAGTAGATAGTTGTGTTTTCTTTCAGAACATGGAAAAGATAAAGTCCTTGTTGTCTAGAATAAGGCTTGATGTGTTATAGTCATAGACCATAGATAATAGGATTTGGTCCAGGGGTTCCAGGACTCTACATATCATGACTCTATCCCAAGTCCATCCGGTTGTGACTGTGAAGGTGTCTGTCGCCATTACATCTGTCAGAGACGGGAGTGTGTGTGTGTGGGGGGGTGAACCTGTGAAATGGCAAGCTAGGCATGTGTGACAATACTGAAGGAAGCAAGCCACAGACAGAGCCTCTCTGGGAAGTGATTTTGGAAATACATCAAGCATCAAGATTCATGAGCTTTTTTGTAGCCACTGTAGTATATCCCATTATGAAGTCTGAGTGAACATGCTGATTATCTTCAGACAGTCTTATGCTGACATTACTGGTGTGAGTGTTGAGCTGAGGAGATCCTGCAGTGAAAACGGTCACTAGTCAGTCCTCGGCAGGGCTCTTATGTTGTGACAAACACCATGACCAAAAGCAATTTGGGGAAGAGAGAATTTGTTTTGGGATAGGGTTCCTTTTTCTCTGGACTCTAGCTTGTGTCCAGTTGAAAAAACCAACCAGTATAGTTGCAGACATCTGAGTTGAAACATTTTTGCCAGTGTTAGAAATGAATGGGCTTGCAGCACAAGCTTTTAATCCCAGCATTAAGAGAGGCAGAGGCAAACTGATCTTTGTGTGTTCAATGCCAGCCTAGTCATTGTAATGTTCCAGGACAGCCAGGGCTACATAGACCGTGTCTCAAAAAAAAGCAGGGGACAACTACTGGGTACAGTGGCAACATTGTTATCTCAGCATGACTGAAGCAGAGGCAGGGAGAGTGCTAGAAATTCAAGGCCAGCCTGAGCTATATAGTGAAATTACATTTTTATTGTTATTGATGCTATTATTGTTTGTCCAAGTCTAAGAATGGGGAAGGTTTCTATTGACTTATGTGCAGATATACTTAGATTATAAGGTAATAATTGCAATAAGGTAAAGCTGGAGAGGTAAGAGCACTGACTGCTCTTCCAGAGGACCTGCTTTCAATTCCCAGCAAGCACATGGTGGTTCACAACCATCTGTAATGACATGTGGTTCTCTCTTCTGGCCTGCAGGGATACATGTAGATAGAACACTGTAGGGGGGGTAGGAGAGGAGGGATGAAGGAGAGAAGAGAAGAGCGAGCAGTCTGGCCTTTCTTGAAGAAGGGGGCCTGGGCAGTGGAGAAGAGTTTGGGGTCAACACGTGGTATAGTCAGCAGGTAGAATCCCTGCACTCAGCTGGGCGGTGGCGCTACACGCCTTTAATTCCAGCACTAGGGAGGCAGAGGCAGCCGGATAGGCCAGGTCTACAGAGTGAGTTGCAGGACAGCCAAAGCTACACAGAGAGACCCTGTCCTGAAAAAGAAAAGGGAAAAAAGAAAGAATTTCTGGGCTCATGCTCCACTATGTAAGAAAAGTAAATACAGGGCCTTTGAGGGTACTGCAAACACGTGGTATACTGACATGCGGGCAGAAGACCCATACACATACAACTTTTTAAAATCTTAATAAAACTCGACAGGCAGGTGCTTTATACAGAGAAACTCTCAAAAAGCGTCCAAAAAAATGTAATAAAATGCAAGGTGAACTCAGGTTTTTAAGACTGATTTTGCAGTCAGATCATCTGTTTGGCTTCATGCTTTGCCTCTGCTTCCCTTAAAACTTAATTGTGTGGTTTACGAAGATGCCTGTTGAAAACCTAAGAGCTTTTTCTAATTAATTGAGTTATCTTTTTCCCACAGGAAACAAAAGGAGGGTGATTTTGATATTGTCTCTGGAACTCGCTACAAAGGGAACGGGGGTGTTTATGGCTGGGATTTGAAAAGGAAGATAATCAGGTACATGTGTGTATGTGTTCATGTTATGTGATTTCTTTACAGGGGAACTACTGGAAATAATGGAATTCTAGGATTAGATTACCACAGTCAGGGCCTTTGGGTTTATAGGATCAGGTTATAACTGCCAATAAAACTTCCCAGGTAGCGTCTTACCTACAGTTTTCCTTTGCCAAGAGTTCTACTTTGGCCATATGGAGGAAAATCAGCACAAATATTGGAACCCTTGACAGCATTGGTCTACATCAGCAGAGTCACTGTTTGGATTGTGGTTTTATTATATACAGTTTTGGAATAGTTTCTCAATATTGTGTTACCTTGTATATATATCTACCTTTTTAGAACTTTACTTCCCTCATCTTAGAGCTAGTATTGTAGCTTTCTGATACTGTCTGACAGCTCATCTCCACGTCGGGTAGGGTGCCATGGGCTGTGGCCGGTAGCCACCCCACTGCCTTCACCTGACCTTGCTCCAGCATCCAGCTTTCTCACACAAGGAAGGCTGAGCTCGCAGGTCACACACCAGGCAGTTAGTGCTGGGACATCTTAGTTCTGATGGCTGTGTGCGTGCGACAGACAGACAGACAGACAGACAGGAGCATGCACATCAAAGGCATTATTTAGGTGTTCTTCGGGCACCTTCCACCTTGTGCTTTGAGATAGGGTTTCTGCCTGGTTTTCAGTGAGGGTTCTCGGGGTCCCACTTGTGCCTTCGTGCATTTGAGGCTGGCACTCTGGTGCCTGAGCCATCTCCCTACCCCCCCCCCCCCGTGCTGCTAGGGCTCCTACGAGATCAGTGCTTTCCATGAACAAATAGTAGGGGAATAGTCCGGCTATTGGTGTGAAGACCCATAAGGAACTGAGATACAAAGTGTACCCCACTCGGTGTCAGGGCGATAGGAAGGAGAGAGTTGTCCCTATTGGTAATGTCACTGCCTTATCCCATTGTAGATTAAATTCACCTCAGTTAAGGAATCTGGGAATAGTCCTTTAAAACACATAAGAGATTTAATCTTCTGTGACATAAAGGCATTGGCTAAGTCATAGCTTTCAATCCTGCTAAACACTGGAATCTGAAGAGAAGTACACATAGTGACCCCTTGCCCTTCTCATGCCCATTGCAAACTACATGACTAAGATTGTCCAGAGGTCGGGGGGCGGGGGGGAGCCTCAGCTGAGGCTGAGAATGAGTTCTTAATCCCCAAAGGCATTTTGAACTTGGTCATTCATTCACCTTTTCATTCTAATTCAAGGTCAGCTTGAACCATACAAGGATTCCACACCATCCAGTTAAAAATCCATCATCACTGGGCAGTGTTATGCATGCCTGTTGTCTGCCATAAAGTAGGAGGATGACTTAAACACAGGCTTTTTGGACCATCTTGGGCAGCGTAACAAGATTCCATCCTAAATAAATATAAGATAAAAATAAAACTATTGTTTTGGGGCTGGGGATGATCACCTAATATGTAGGAAGCCCTGGAAGTCCCTAGTACATCCACATCAACTAGATGTAGCAACATTTTTTATAATCCAGTACGGTGGAAATAGGGTCTTTGAGACCTTGTAACAAAAAAAAAAAACAAATAAATAAACAAAGCCCAAACCAAAAATGATTTTACACAGTAGTACAGATACTTCTGTCCATCAGTACTCTACTGCTGTGAAGAGACACCGTGATTATAAAGGAAAGCATTTCACTAGGGGCGTAATCCCTGATCTCCATAGCAGGAAAGCACAGTGCTGCCACCTAGCTAAGAGCTTCCATCTGATCAGCAAGTTGGAGGCCGGGAGAACAAGACTGGGCCTGGCATGAGCTTTTGCAACCTCAAAGCCCCATGCCTAGTGACACCCTTCTCCAACAAGGCCACGCCTAATCTTCCTGAACAGTTCCATCAGCTAGGAACCTAGAATTCAAATATGTGTCTATGAGATCACTAGCTTTTAAAGCACCACAAAATCTGACTCTCTAAAACTCATGTTTTTGAGTGGGGTCCACTTACATCTTAGAATAGTATCATCACATTTAGATGTAACTGAAGTTTGGAAACAGCCAGTGTAACCCTGGCTGTTGTGGAACTCCGTAGAACAGGCTGGCCTCTAACTCACAGAGATCCTCCTGCTTCTGCATCCCTGGTGCTGGAATGAAAGGCACATGTCACCAATGCTCAGCAAGTTTGGGGACTTTGAAGAGTGATTCTCTACCTTCAGGTCATCCCAGAAAACCTTTCTGAACCTGTGTTGCTAAAATGGCTGCCATACAAAAGTCACTTTCTTCATGCCCTTGACACCCTTTGAAATACTAATATAGCAGTCTCAAACAACTTGTGACTGGTAATTGTGTGGGTTCTGTTAATCTAGAGCCATTGTTATGGACTGAGTGTGTTTCACAAATTCCGAGTTAAATGAGAAACCCCTACCCCGGTGTTTTGGAGTCTTTGGGAGGTGATTAGTTTGCAAGATAATGGGGTGAGCCCTTTGATGGGATTAGCATCCTTTGAGCGCCAACCCCCACCCTCATTCCTGCTTGTTTAGCTCCTTGCTTTTTAACTTCTTATGCTCTAAAACCAGGAGAATACATCTCCAGTTTAAGCCAGTGTACAGTATCATAGTACAGTGTGTGGTATCCAGACACCACATTCACCCCTACCCTGCTTTCATGCTGTGTTTCTTCAGACAGTCTGCTCTCCTTGCTGGCCAGGAGTTTGTGATCTTCCTCCTTTAGGCTCCTGAAAGCTACCATTGTAGATCTGTACCACCATGCTAGGTGTAAAGTCAGTCTCTGCTGGAATCTGAAAAAGAAACTTCTTATCAAACCTTATCTTTTTCTTCATGGCAAACTCATCAAATCCTTGCCCTTTTTCTTGCAAAGCATTTATGGTTTAAATGACTGATTTTTCTCCTTAGCTAAAGTTTGGGGGGGGGGGGAGGTGAGTGTGTGTGTATGTGTCTCATGTTGCCCAAGTAATCATTGCCACACCCTGTCCATTCAGTGCTTGTGTGTGTATGTGTCTGTTGGTGAGTACTCTTCCAATTCCCCAGCCCTTCTCTCTCTCAGCAAAGTTTAGCAGGGTAGTTACTTTCATAGCTGTTCCCTTCCACTTGGAAAGGGTCAAGATCCCTATTCTTTTGTGAAATTTGTCAGATCTCATTGCACTGCCTCTTTGTTCTGAAGAATTAACTTTTGTGTGTAAAATTGGTATCACATTTATTAATGGCTAGCAATTGTTGCATGGTTTGTTCTTCAGTGTGTTTCTAAAATTTATTAATAAGGAAAATCTAATTAATTTGGCAGCCGTGGGGCCAATTTTATAACTCAGATTTTGCTGAGACCGGGAGCATCGGACTTAACAGGAAGCTTCAGGTAGTGTTTCTTTTATATCTGGAACTTTTCCTTGATTCCTTCTGTTAAGAGGCCAGGTGGTGGTGGTGCATGGCTTTAATCCCAACACTGGAGAGGCAGAGACAGGAGGATCTCTGTGAGTTCGAGGCCAGCCTTGGTCTACAGAGCAAGTGAGTTCAGGACAGGCTCTAAAGATAGATTAGATTCCCCACACATCTTCTCCATCTTACTTTATAAACGGAGTGTACCATATACTTGAATGGCAAGGTATGCTTTCCTACCACAGTACTTGTGACCTGGATTCTTCACAGAAGTCCGCAAGATGGCCTCTATCCAGTGATGCCTAGTCCTAGTCTAACCTAGCTCGCCCATAGTATAACAGTTGTTCCTGGGTGACCTGACTGTCCTCAGGACCTTGGCCTCTATTGGCAAGCAGATGCCTATTAACTGCCGGGCTGCTTGTCACCTTGGTATGTGTCATTATTTCAGCTGTCAGTTCAGCCATTCTAGCATGCCCAGTTCAAAGACTGATGTTAAAGCAGTTTCCAAACCAAAAGTACCTGTTTGTCTATCAGGGAGCTAATTTACCATATTTTTCATAGTTTCCAATAGTATAAATCTCAAGAAGTCATTGAGAACTCATTTTCAAAAGTATTCCAAGCTCTTAGCAGGTACTTCTTGTCCTAGACATATGATCAGAAGTTCTGAGAACTTGTCTATATACCAGAGACTACTGAGTTTTAGATTACAGATACCTGTGAGTTCTGGAAGTGCAGGATCTATGTGACAGGCACATGTCCAGATGGTCATAAATACTCTGTTTTCTTACAGGTTGTACCGAAAAGAAGTTCTGCAGAAATTAATAGAAAAATGTGTCTCCAAAGGCTATGTCTTTCAGATGGAGATGATTGTTCGAGCGAGACAGTTGAATTACACCATTGGTGAGGTGAGTGACTCTCGCTAAGTTCTTTGTGCTACTCCCCAGAAATGGAGATTTAACAAAAGCACAACTTTCCTAACTGCTGAGTTAGCAGGGTCTTCGACTTTTGGTTATTTGGAGTGTCCATATACTACATGGTGAACATTGAGATGACTGTATTTGACCTACTGTGATTTATGCCAAGCTGTGTTTCCTTGTATATAATGAAGTTTCTGGTGCCTTGGAATTCTGTCTTCTGAACTTTGCAATATGAGCTCCTTGGCTGCTGTTCTTAGTAAATGTTCAGGGTTAGAGTACACAGGCTGGAGGTAGGGTTTCAGGGTGCATGGTGGTGTTTGGAGATGACCCCACATCTAATATCAAACCCTTACTCGTGGCAAGAAAATACCCCCTGCTAGAATGCCTCTCCCTTGTGAACATTAGGAAATTTGTAATTTAACTCCACCATGATTATTAAATGGAACAAACTAAAGAGAGAAAAAGAATGAAAAGCCGTTTAACTTTTAAAGTGTGGTTCTTCTGGAAATAGAACCTGAAATTTGAATGGATTAACATAATAATTGGGGTCAGTACATATCACGCAGTTATAGATTTGAGTCAAATGACATATTTTTTATAACAAATATGCTAAAGGACAGTTATGTGAAGAACCGTGACTGTCAATCTACACGAAAGACTGGTGCTGCAAGTTGAGGCTCTGCTCTTGTATTAGGAATGCTGTAGCCCTACCTTGCTGTCGTCACTGTTTGAAGACTGACTTTAATGCGTATGTATTTCTTAACCAGGTTCCAATATCATTTGTGGATCGAGTTTATGGTGAATCCAAGTTGGGAGGAAATGAAATAGTCTCTTTCCTGAAAGGATTATTGACTCTCTTTGCTACTACATAAAAGAAATTACTCATTTATACTTACAATGTTCATTTCAATTAAAAGTAAGAGAAATCTGGGTCACTGATTTTTATCAATGCTCTCTTAATACATGAGCCAAAGGTAAGGTGCATTTCATACTGATCATTTCTTTGGAGAAACTCCATTTTATATTTCAAACTAAAATTTAAACTTATTGGTTTAATGAGCAATGTTCTCGATTTTCATGTACATTGTGCTGTATTAAGACCTATAAATAAATGTATATAGGTTTGTGTAAAATGTTGCTGCTTTTATTAGATATGTTGGTGCGGAGTTTCTTGTGAGAAAGAATATGAAATACTCCATAAAACTAGGTTGTTAGTTCTTTATACCTAGATGTTAGACAGGGAAAGTTAGTTACATTTACAAAACACAGTTCATGTGTGAACTGAAAAAGAAATAAAATCTCATATTTCTGAACCTAGGTAAAGTAGTGCTCTCTGCACACATGCTTAGAGCACTAGCCGGTGAGAATGCTTGTCCACTGACAGCAAACTGGGCAAAGTGTACATTGTGAGGTGGAAAAGAGCTTGGCAGTGGCTGGCTCATAGCTGCTGTTTTGTTTTTTCCTTTTGAGCACTAACTTCTGTTGGAAAGAACAGTATTTCATCTCAAAATACTTGTTTTTACATTATTCCCATACCTCAACAAACTTGCCACCATGACAAAAATGTATGTACTATTTTTCTCCAGAAAAATGTCCTACTTGTTAAAATGAGTAAGTTGTTCCATGCAGCTGGGGCAAATATACTCCATGTCATCTAACTCTTCAAAGTCAGTACATTTATTTGTATGTGTAGCATAGCTTTCAGGTCATGTAGCATGTTTTAGGTTTTGAGTAATTACATGATCTAGTTGCCTGTCCTATGTGAGAAAAAAGGGGCAGCACCTGCCTCTAAGTCATTTGATAATCACATTTAGCAAACACAGTCCAAGCGTCATAGAGCCCAAGCTGCCTTCCACCTTCCTCTGTAGTAGGCTGGTGTTGACTTGCTAGTCCTCTTGCCCTCACCTCTCAAGTAGTGAGACTATAGGTGTGTGCCATCACTTAGACACACACAATCTGGGCATCTGTTTCCTTACCTTACTTTGGCTGCTAAAGAAATTGAAAGTCTTAAATTTTGTTTCCATCTTTCTGGTTGATCGTCGCAGGAGTAAGCATTGATTAATGCCTTCACTCCCAAGTAGTCCCATAGCTGGACCCATAATGAGCCATTGCTCTGTTCCCCTTTGCCAAAACCTGTTGAGTGTCAATGGGGAAGTGACTTCTTCATCCTTAATAACTGGAAATTTTATTAGTGTCCAATTAAAAGTTAAGCCAAAACCATAGGATTATGATATTCTCGAGTTTTTGTTTTTTGAGTGCTGAGGAATCTGTCTGTTCTCTTGAAACCCAGCATTAAGTTTTCAGTGTCAGGTACATGGAGCAGAAGTTAAGTAGCCACTGTAGAAGTCCTCACGCCTCACTGGAGCAGAGAGCCTTGGTATTTAGCTTCACAATCGCTCTGGCACTGCTGGACTTTCGCTGGCTATGTTTGAGCAGTGCAACATTTAGAAGTCACTTAGAGGAGAATGCTGCCTAATTTTTTTTTAGCCCCTCCACCTGAATCCAGTACTTTGTGCTTCAAAGTAAATGGAGTAATGAAATCCAGATATCCTTCACACTGCTGTTATCACTGTATGGAATCTGATTGCCTAAGGAAAACTAGAGATAAATTTGCTTTGCCTATTCCATATTCCCATTGCCTGTCTACATTGTGCAGGTTCCATATCTTGAGTGCTTTGATGAAAGGCCTTGCCCTGCCCCTTTTAAACAACTTGTGCCTCGGTTTCCATTGAGGCATTGATTACACTTTTAAATACACAGTACCTGAAGAAAACAATGGTGTCAGGTGAAGGTTTGTTCAACTCCTAACAAACCCTTAGACACTGAGCTGTATATAGTTCATAAGATTCTTTCAAACTTGTAACTTAAGTGTAGAGATCACCTATTTTTTAAGTGGGTGTGGCCAGTATTTCACAACTTCACTTGCTACTTTTCCATATGCTCTAGGGTAACTATTCATTTAAAGTTAACCCAAGGATGTTGATGTTGAAGTGGTGTGGTTGGAGCTGATCCAGATTGACAAAGCCAACAGCCATGTATTGTCATATGCCCAAACTGTAGGAGCACGGTGACTACAGAGGGTGAGCACCAGAGCTTTTCATCCTTCGGCTTCGCCGGTCTGATGGCCTCAACTCTACAAATCCCACTTTTTCTTTTTTAAGTCAAGGAGAAATGGCCATCCGATGACTTGGAAGAATATCTTGAGTCCAAGAAACAGCAAAACTGTAAAGCTGAGCCCTTGTTCATCTATTATCCCTCACCAATCCACCGGAAGAGCTGACATGGCCCCAGAGCTGTGTCATCTCCAGAGAATGTGTGAAGCACGAGGCCATCACACCTCATTTAGGCTGAAGGCACCAGGCTCGGCCCTTCGCCTTGCTGCTCAGCCTGTGAGAGCACGCTCTGTGAGCACGTGGAGCTTCGGGGCCCCGCGCACCCTCCCTCCAGATGTAGTCCAGGCCCAGAAGGGCCCGCGCAGGGATCCCCAGCACAGCCACCTGACTGATTGTCGGAGCGTGCTGCGGCCCGCTGCTTGTGCCTCCGCCGGCGGCGCTGCGGCCAGAGGAAGGCACCCAGGAGCGCACTGCGGCCATTATCCACGGCGCCTCCTAGTGGGTCAATTGCAAATCCTGCGAGTTCTCGCGAGAGCTCCCCCTCAGTGGGGATTATATAATCTCCCCAGGCGAGGATGGGGTGCTGAAGTCACCTTCCCGCAGGAGACGTGAGGGCCCTCGCGCGGAGGGCGGGAGAGCGGTCCCCGGAGGGTCCCCACGCGGGGGCCCCGGCCCCCCGCCCCCCCACGTTCAGCTGGACAATGAGTCCTCTTATGCTAATGAGGCGCTTGCGTCACTTCCGCTCTTTCTCGGCCGCCATTTTGGCTAGGGCAGGTTCGGGGACTCGCTCTGAGGCGCTTGTATTGTCTGCTGAGGGGAGACGCGGGACCAGCCCCCTCCCCCGCCCGCCGCCGCCGCCGCCGGCCCGGTGTACCCGCCGCCGCCGCCGGGACCCATGAGCTGAGCGCCCGCCCCCCGGCCGCCGCCATCTTGGCCCCCTCCCCCTGCGCGCCGCGCTCGGGGGGATCTGGCGTCTCCTCAGGCACAGCTCCCTCTCTCGGTCCCCGCCGCCGAGGAGCCGCGCGGCCGCCGCCGCCGCCGCCGCCCGCCCGCCCGCGACGGTGAAGCCGCGGCCCCACGCCCGCCGCCGCCCTCCGCCCCTCCTTTGTCTGCACCGCCCGCGCCGCCGCCCGCCGCTCTGCTGCGCCCGCCGCGCCCCCCGGCAGCAGCCGCGGCCGCGGCTCGAGCCGGAGCCGGAGCCCGAGCGCGACGAGGCCCCGGGCGCGTCCTCGCCGCCATCGCCGTGCCGCCGCCCGCTCGCCGCCGGGCCTCGCAGCACGCCGGCCCCGCGCACGCCTCGAGGCCGAGCCAAGGTAAGCGCGGCCCTGCCCTGCCGGCCCCGGGCCCGGCGCGGGCGCGGTCATTGTGCTCCGCGCGCTCACACTGCTCTGCACCGGCCTCTGCCCTCCTGCAGCCCGACCCCCTTCTCCGCCCCAGAGGCCCCCGGCCACCCAGGGCTTCGGCGGCTGGCGGCGTCTCCCCGCAGCCACCCCGCCCCCAGTGGTGCCCCGCTCTCTCGTCCCCCAAACTCGTCCCCTCCTGCCCCTGCCCCCCACACGCGCACGCCCCCGGTCCCCGGAACCAGCCTTCTGCCAGGTCTGCCCACCCTAGGCTTGGGGGGAGGGGAAGGAAGGACGGGGGGGCGGGGAGTGCATGGCACGGAGTGAAAGTCTTTGCCGCCCCAACAACATGCCAGCTTCCCTCCCATCCTAACAACCGCAGCCCTCGCCAGCCCTGCTCGCAGTCTCGGCTGACTGCTCAGCACCCACCTCTTGAGAGCTTTCTGCTCCTCAACTTTGCACTCAGAAAATGGAAATCCAGAAAGCCGCTAAAAGATTTGTGTCGAATGCAATGAATGGGGAGTAGTTCTCTGAGTACCCTCTTATTCGCCTCTTCTTTCCTCTGGGCCGCCTGTCCTCGGCCTTCCCCCCCACCCACCCCACCCCACAACTTGGATGCCTGTCTGGTAGAAAAGGCGCGATTGCTTCTTTTCCTCTTGTGTCCAAGATCAGGCTCTGAAGTCTAACACCCATTTTAAGCCTCACTCCCTGCCACACACCCCAAGTGTCTTCTCAGTGTTCTGCAGTCACCAACCAGTTCCTCTGGACAGTTCTTGTCATAACCCCATTTCACAGACAAAGGCTTAGGAGGGGGAAAGAACCAAACTGTTTCCTGTGTTAGCCATTTTAACGCTGTCCAACCCCAAACGCCCAGTTCCCATCCCTGATGCTTCTTGTGCCTGTGTCTTGACCCTTCAGAATGTGGGGGGGGGGAGGTGTCTCTTGGATAGCTTTGTGCAGTTTCTTTATAAATCTGCATTGTTGCTTCTGGTTTATGGCCATGAAGAAAATACCAGCCCCCACCCAAAATGCACCGCAGCCAAGTCGGTTAAAGGCAATCAGTGTTGGAGTCAGTAGGGGGCGCATTCTCTGCACTGGGTAAGGCTGCAGAGGGGGGAAGGGCCCCAGAACTAGAACAGGATGTGCTTAACAGCGCCTTCTACAGACCATTCGAAAATGGGCCCAGCAAGACTTGCACTTAGTTGAGCTGACAGCAACATGGCCAAGGATTAAGTGAGCCTGCAGAGAGATTTAAGAAAGCCTCCTCAATGTTTGGAAAGTTTTCACTTGTTCCAAACTGTTCACCCTCAGACTTTGGTGGCTGATAGTCAACTTCATGCACATCCTTAGGTCATAGGTTTGCTTTCTCAAGAATCCTTTCACCTTCAGGTTTGGATGTGTCAACGTCTCTTTCCTAGGCCAGGTGGTAAAGGGGGTTGTTTGAAGCCTGAAGGTAATGGACTTGGATCAGTCCAGGT